AGTGTTTGAAACAACAAGAGCTTTTATTTCATGGCAAATCAGTGAAATGAACTGATAGGGCAGAAACAGAGGGCTCTGTTTGTGTTCCCCCACGTATAAGGAGTGGGCCTGTGGGGATGCTTTTGCTGGCAGTGCCTCACATCTAACCACAAACATATGGGATTTTTATAGTTTGGGGGTTTTAACCGAAGTATTGTTTACTTTGCCATGGTGCAATATTTGATTTTTCAGCAAGTGCCCTACATTTAGACATGTCAGTGAGGAGGAGCGGAGGGGAAGCTGCTGCTCTGTAGCACAGCAGATGTGGCAGCAATAAATCCCCCAGCGGGGGGGTGGTGGCTGATCAGGACTTGGAGTGCCTTTGGTCTTCTTCTGTAGTCTGCCATGAAAATATTCCATAAAAARAAMCTATATTATTATTTTAAAATGTTCRATTTTATTTTTTACACTTTAATAATTATATTATTTTACAATAACAAAATAATACTATATAAGTCAATAGTACAAGACTACTCTGTAGTCTACCATGAAAATATTCCATAATAAAAACAATTATATAATTATTGAAGTGTAAAAAATAAAATTAAAATTTAAAAATAATAATATATACAATATATATTGTTTATGTAAATATTATTTACAATAATAAATATACATTTTATATTATAAAATAATATAATATAAAAAATAAGTAACATAATTCAATATATTGCAATATTTAAATATATAACAATATAATAAATCATGTAGAATAATTTTACTATAATAAAATAATTTTACAATAGGCAATAACAGTAGCAAGCTGCTTATAATGTAGTTAGTTAGAAAACTCCAGGATGTTGGGAGCAAATTCTGGAGTTTGCCCGTGTGTGAGCTGCAAGGCCTGGRAGAAAAAGGCTTTCAGCAGAGGCAGAAGAAAATCAGTGTCTTGATGTGTTCKGCTTTGGAGGTGATGGGACCATCCCTGTGATGGGATAAATGTCTGAAGTSCCCCCAGATCATTGGCTTTTCAGTCATGCTGGACAGGTGGGAACCACGAAGGATAGAGACACCCATCAGTGCCTGGGGTTTGAGGCAGATGGGATAGAAAACTGCTCACATGGCACCAGGGAGGCTCTGGATTGGGATGCTTTGGCTCTCCCAATGGCACCTGGAGGGWCAGCAGGAAGAATTCACCACTTTTAAGGCCCAAAACCTCCTTTGCTTGAAGCCTTCTTTGCCACATTCACACCCCTCCTCCATGGCCCATAGGGAGGGTTTTAAAGTATGTGGCAGCTAAGTCACATCTTRAAATCTTTAATGAAAAGTGCAGTGTTATTTATTTATTTACAGGTTTATATACAGAGTGCAAACTACTGGAGTTTCCCTCTATGTACGTCTTCTGCATGGGACTGAATGCCCAATGTCCTGGGATGCTGGAAGCAAAATTATATCCAGGGTTCTCTGTTGGAAATACATTATTTTAAATAAATKACTTGCTTAGCAGAAAAAAATAATTAAAAATTATGGCAGTTGTTTTGTTTTTCCCACATGAGAATTCCTGCCAGTCCCACCTATCTTCTGTAGGACTGGAAAATGGCCTTTCAAAGCATGATGTTAGTCAGTACCATGGGCCAATGCCCTGGCTGTTTCTAGGCTGATATTTATTTACTTATTTGCTGCTTGAGAGGCCATTTATCTAAATATATCCAAACTCCAAGTGTACTCAAAAGGTTCAGTATTAACCTGAGAGTCCAGTGGTGAATTACTTATCAAAGTCAGATGAATTAGGATAGAGAGAAAGGGGAGGAGAAAGGGGGAGAGGGGGAAGTAAAGGAAAAAAATCCCCCAGTGTTAGCCACAGCCATTATGCTTATGTTCCCTACTGGAGGGGGATTTTGCTGCCTTTTTAATTCCGYCCAGTTTATGCCTGCTTGTAAATTTAATGGTCACTATTGTGACAGCAGATGTCCACTCAKTTCAGCTGCTCTTTAACATCATGTGGCATACTGGCTGAAGCCAAAATGCAGAACAAGCTATCTGAAACTCAAGCTGTCAAAATAAATCTCCATAGAGACAGTGTCTGCTAGTCCATGGGAAGTGGAGTTAAAGAGACTGCACTGATTGCCGAAGCAAATACCAAGAGAACACCCATTGTGTGCTCCCAGCTATGGCCAGGGAGTCAAACTCCATCTTGAAGTGACATTTCTTCTTGTAAGGAATCAAGTCTGGGCTGATGCTTTTCAGTTAGTCCCTCTGCCAGGGCTTTCAGTGTTAGAAATCACTGCTAGGCAGGATGTAAGGGTTGAAGGCTGCAGTTGGGTGTTTCAGACATAGTGCATCTATCAAAGTGTTTAAAAAATGAGTTGACGTATAATATGGTTTAGTGGGYGTGGTGATACTCAGTCCAAGCCTGTTAAAAGGAAGTGCAATAGCAAATGATTGCTTTGCTTCTCACAGCACATCTTGAGAATTGACTTGAACCACGAAGTTGTTTGCAGCGAAAAAATTCTCCTTTCTCTGCTGAAACTGTGTGCCTAACAGCCCTTCCTTTACAAACCAGAAATTCTAGTGAGGTATCTATCTTTACATGGCTGATACCACTGAAAATCTGACCCAGAGCCTTGAAGTCACATCAGCTTMCTTAATGGTTTGAAATTTCACTCACAGTTTAGCAAGAACAGGGTTTCTTCTCTGAACAATACCCAACAAGACAGACCTTGTACAAGTTTTTAGGCCCACACTGTACCCCTGTATGAGCCACCAGTGCAGCAGAGAAAGGCTTGTCTTGAACATCAGCAGCTGAGATGATAAACTGYGATGCCTCATCTATGAGACAGTGAGAAAGACCACAGGAGTAAGAAAAAAATTATATTTATTCTATTTGGGATCGCTATTTATTCAAAGTACAAAAAATGTCGAGTAGAGTCTGTAAAATGTAACACATCAGTCTGTAAAATTGAACACATCCACAGTGAATGTCCCTGGGTGATCCTTCCAATCTCCCCTCCTCACAAGTAAAGAGTGCCAGTGCTGGCCCCGCTGGTGCCTTTTCCACAGCCATCTCACAGACCGAGGTGAGAGCAGCTGAGAGCAGCTTCTCAACAGAGCTGGGTGCCACAAATATCTCCAGTCAGTTGAAAAGTGAACCTCTGGTTTCCAGTCAGCTTCCTGACTTACAGGAAAGTCCTTGGGCAGTAGGTGCAYTCCGCTTACCACAGGAAAACTTTAGGACAGTCTTGGTTCTTCAATTTACCCATCCAGGGCCGTGGCAGGCTGAGTTCTGCACAKCCCAGTGCTCCTGCTGCATATTTGGGCAGCACCCAGGCTTACACACAGCAATCCTTGCAACTCAGCACAAAAACTGCTACTGAAAGGACAGTTTTTTCCTGACTCTAATAATCAGGCCGAGACGAATGTTATAAGAAGGGAATAGATCAATTGTGTACCATGTTTCATCAGTTAATTTGTCACATTAAAATATATAATTTTACAAAACTTTATTTGTAAACCTACACAGTTCTTAGCACAAATTATTTTATACAGGGATTGACAAATTCTCTCAGTACAAAAGAAGTTCCTTATCATTAATGTAAGGAATACAGGGAATCATATCAGAAACTGTTGTGATGTACCCTTGTTGGTGGTATTTATGTTGAGATCAAATAACTTGCTTTTTCCACCAGGCCAAGCAAYCTGACAAAACTGAAGCCTTTCTGCACAATGAGGACTGGCAAAATCCATGCAAGGTTCCATTCAAACTAGTGAATTTTGTTAACCCACACTGTATATACGCATCCAGAATGAGAATGGAAATCCTTCCAATATATTTACAAACACATTTCAACACAATTCAGCAAGCTTTATCCATTAGCATTTCAACTTGGCTAGATCTTTCCCATTCAACATTTGGCAGAACATATGTAATTTTCTTCATGAATAATACTTATTAAAAAGAGAAAAATGTTACATACAGTAGTACTACATGAGGGWCTTGAGAGAAAAATTATAAATCTGGGAAGTATTTTGAGATAAGCACTCAGATCCAGATTCCAGTGAAGCCACAGAACTTAAATGATTGATCAGTTCATCCTGACTGTGAAAGTACATTTGGACAAAGACAGGATTTTTTCAGGGTCCTTGAACTTGTGAAATGTTTGAAACCCAAAATTCTGCACTGAGTCACTGTCACCAAAGAGACCATAGTCAGGTATGGMTGATGTGTGCATGGCTGRTGGTCATCACTTTTTCCTGCTCYGCACAGARCAGCTTATTTTCATGACCAAGTCACAAGTGCCTGGCTGATCRTGTGGRTCTTCACCATCAGTTTTKCCAGGAGCACAGGCAGCAATGACAGGGCTGGTTTGGGAGATTTTTGCAAAACTGTTCTATGTAGGTTTTCCAATGTGATTACAAAGCATTACAACACACACAATGTACAAAGCAGGTTACTGGATTTTTATCTAGCACAGCCGATAAAAACATATTCTACTAATTATAATGCAGATACAAAATGCCAGCTAGAACTGATACCTTTGCTCTTGTTCCATAATATCTTAAAAAGAGAGTTTAGGGCCAAAATGCAGTAAGAAAATKCTCTCTATTATGCATTCTTAGGATTAGATTGGGTTTTGTCTCTTGATTTCTATCTCTTTTGCACATTGCTCTGAATTCAGAGCATAGAGTTGTGATTATGTTGGACGTATTAGGAAGGGTTTCTGTACATCTGTATTGAGTGATCTATGAAGCATCAAGCTGGATGTTTCATGCAAACTTGGGGCATATAAAAGGTGACACTCTCAATTTTCACCTTCATAGATATTTTTATTAAAATTACGAAACATTCCCCTGTTTGTCAACCAAAAGAATATGAAAAGAGCTGAGAAGTAAAATACTTAGAATATTGCAGAGCAGGTCCTAAACAACACCAAACAGAGTACACTCAGAAACATTGCTTAATGTCCTCACACTTAGTGTGCACACTTGTTTTACAGGAAAAAAGAAAAAAAAAAGTGGTCCAGAAGAATGAGGCCATTATCACAGAAGCTTTTGACCAGCTACAAAGCAGCAAASCCAAGTGGTGTGAGCAACATGTTTCTTAAAGCTTGGGCACCATCCACCCTGTGGAACCTCTTCCAGAACATGTCAGCGACAGAAGCATGGCCAGGGTGGCCTGCAGTGCTGGAGCAGTGTCACAGATACAGCATGAGCTTTCCATCAGGTGAGCTGACGGTTCCTATCAGCAGAAGTATTCATTAGGCTGTCCCTCTATCTTTGGTATGGCCTCCGAGTCCACGCTGGAGCGAGCRGACAGCAGCCTGTTGGACTCATCAGGGGTGTGTCTAGTCAARTATTCTCCTTCCACACCTTTGGCCTTGGCCCCAGGGGACAGGCTTTCAAAGGTGACGTAGGATTCCTGAATTTCCTTGGGTTTTCGCACAAAGCATTTTTTGCAGCGCCGTTTCAGCGCTCCACAGCAGACCACCAGYGTCAGAGGAACAGCAATGACGCAGGCCACGCTGATGACAACCACATTGATGAGCTTCTGCGTCCCTCCCGCGCTGGCGACTTCRTCTGTGGAAAATATGATGCACTGCTCCTTCCTGGGGATCAGCCCTTTCACACAGACACACACGATGTATTTGGTTTTTGGCAGCAGCCCATAAACAGTGACCTTGGTCTTGCCCGGCTCTACGTTGATCCGCCGCATGTCCCTCTCCCCAAAGATGGCGTAGAGGACACTGAACACCGTGGTGTTCTTTGCCATCGGYGCCTTCCAGGCCAGGGTGATGCTCTGGTCGCTGTCCCCTATCACCCTGACAGACCTCACCATTCTCTCTGGCTCCTGGCCCGGGGTGGGGCTCACCAGCAGGTTCTGGGGGTTGCTGTCTTGTGCCACGTCCGGGAGGAGTAGGCCATCTCCAGTGCCCGCTCCAGAACCCAGGGTGGGCACAGTGGAGGTGGTGATGACGTACCTTGCCACTAGCTTGTCATTGTAGGCAGCTGCCTCCATCCCGCTGGCCTTCCCATTCCATGTGCCTTTAGCAGAGTTAGGGTCATCTGTGCTCTCTGAGTCTGTGATGATGAGAGAGATGAACGCCTCTGTTGCCCCCAGGAAATTCTTGGCTTTACAGATGTACTCTCCAGAGTCAAGGTAAGAGACTACAGGCAGGCCCAGGATAGACCAGCTCATCCCATCACTGGAAATCTCTTGGTGAACTGCAAGGCAGGAAAAATGTTAAATAAATAGGCAATAATAAATGGAATTAATTCCATGTTTTTAAAATGTTGAGACTCCATCAGCCAATATCTGCTCGATAAAGTACAATCATCATTTCTCCTTGCCACCAAGAACAAATCAAAGTAAATCTRAAGAAAAGGACAGTAACACTGTAATTAGATTATGTCAGAATTTAAACTGCTTCAAAATGAATATATGTGAAACATTTGATGCTCKTTCCTCCAAAGTGATGTACAGCTTGAAAACATATCAGGAAATGTTATTCCATTAAAAATAAAATCTTGAAAATTATTATGTAGGTACAATACTTAAGAGTGGAAGGAGCAGGCAGTAACATGATTGATTAGAGCATTAGATGCAGACCTTGGAGGCAAAGAAAATACAAATTCCACAAAAGTTGAGATTTTATTGTAATAAACACACATGGACTAGCCTAGACTATATGGGAAAATAGTCAAAAGATATTATCCCTTCTATTGCTTAATTATTGCAGTGTTTATCCTTACACAGGTGTGATCACTTACCACCAAATGATATGTRCACAGCTGAGACCTGGAGGCTAAAATTAGCTTTTTTACCTTTTTCTATTTGTACAGGAAAAAAAAAAAAAAAGTTGTGATCTCATGGAAGGGCAAAGCACCCTCTTCATTATATAACCAGCCTCCTTAGGATGGGCACCCTCTGTCTAAACCGTTTCCCACTGAAAGGTAAACCAGGGAGAAAGAGAAAGGTGAGAGGATGCAAACTTCTCCCAAGSCCTCCTGGGGTCAGGATCTAACCTTGGCAATCAGGCCCCTTCCAAAGGGGTGAAATACGAGGCAGCAGAAGTTACTTTTTCAGTTTAATTATTTACTTAATTAGTGTATTAAAAACCATAAAGCTATGGGTCTAGCTATGGCAGTTACCTGTACATACAGGGCTGTTTCTCATTCAAACAGTCACATCCTGGCATTGGCACAGAAGCTGCCATTGCTGAGAAATAACCTWTATTTTCAGCCAACTTTTTACTGAAAGGTGCTAGCATCTGATTTAATGGGGCACAAAATACGTCATTCTCACTTGTGGCTCAAAACAAACTCAACATAGGCTTTYGGGAAATGATCCCATTTTATTTTTTGTGGTGGAGGGATGTTTGCAGCATTATCATTATGAGGAGCAGCTCTACTACATCCTGCACATCGTGCACAACAGAGCAATGACTTGTGCAGGTGCCAAAAGATGGTATTTATTACAAATGGTTCTACTGCTGTGAAAGAAAATTGCTCTCTTCCCATTCTGTGCACTGAGGAGCCCTGYAACCCTTTGAAGATCAGAGCCCATAGTTAGCAATTTATCTGCTGAGTTTAGATCCTCTATGAAAGGCGGGGCAGAACTAGAACTCAGGGCAAGTTGGAGGCAAGAAGATCCTGACTGAAAACCTCTGGGACACAAAGCTAAGGACAGCTGTTTTCAGTGGGGCAAAGGCTTCTTCCCTGAATTCCCCACATACTAAAGGACCAACACTGCATGTATAGCTCCAAACTTTCTTGTGAATGGAAATGAAAACATGATCAGTCACAAAACTGGTGTCTGAAGGCTTTCCCCAGAAGAGGTGCTCAGAGCAGGTGGTTAGGATTTCTTTCACAGAGCTTTTTCCCCAAGAAACCTTGTCAATCTCTCAGAGGGAATGATTCTTCAGAGACATTCCCACCAAAGTATTGTACCCTTCAGCAGTTTAGTGGCTTTTTTTGTCTTTTGATATATCAGTAAGGTATGTTTGCAACCCATTCTTCTACAGCAGATCTGAATCCCAGTCGAATTCACATCAGACATCTCTCTGCCAGAGGTGTTTGCTAATTGATTAGCAGCAGAATGAAATGAGAATATAGAATAAAAGAATAATAGAGTRCTTCAATGGGAAGCCTTTTCAGTGACTGAATAACTAAGTGAAAACAGCTTATTGCTACAGTTGGAAATATTTCATTTCTTCAGCTCTAACAGATGTGCAGAAAATCCCTTGACTTGTCTCACCCCCACAATTGCTATGAAACACAGCAAAGCCAACATTTTACTCATGATAATATACATTTATCTGATAGTATTTAGGTCAAYGTGTAAGTAATTTTATTGTCTATAGAAAATCACAGCGCAAGAGTGGATTACTCACGGTACCAGAGTGCCTCACCCATTCCACGTGTACAGCAAAGCTCAAACCCCACGCACCTGTGCCGTTCAGCTGAGCCCCATCCGCTCTCCTCCAGCTGAGCTCGGGGATGGGCACGCCCGTGGTGCCGCAGCGCAGCAGCACCGTGCTGCCCAGGATGGTCTTCACCTTGGCCACAGACGTGTGCACCACGGGGCTCTGGCACTTCCTCAGCTCCACCTGGCTGAAGAACACTCCGGCGAGGCTCCGCGGGGTGAAGCATTTCAGCCTGGGCTCAATGAAGGCTATGTTAGGAGACTGGAAATTTAGGAAGTGGACCATTTCATACAGGCTGCAGTCACACACCCAAGGATTGTCCTGCAAGCCTGTCAAAARGAAATCAGGGCATCAAGTCACTTCAACAGCCACTTTTGTTTCTGTTTTTCAGCAGGATAAAGTGTGATAGCCTCCCAGTCTGCTCTGCAAGAACTGCCTGTGCAGGAATATGTGGGGCAGGGATTGTCCCCCCCCCCACTGCTGTTGGCTGAACCTGATGGATCCCACAGTTGCCAGAATGGAATAAATGTGGCTTGCTAAAGTATCTCAAAGTCTGGATCTGAAATCATATTCTTTAAGTCCAAAGCAGGATATTCATACAGTGAAAAATTGTGATTCATGCACACAAAGAAGCAAAGCAAGAAGTTACTATGAACACATTTAGTTCTAGAATGAAAAAAACAATTGGGACTAGGGGTGTGGATTCTGTTGGCATGAGAAGACTGTGAAGTTTCTTCCTTAGATAAGCCATAAAATTCTTCTCACTGGACATTATTAAAATATTAGCCTGACAGTCATGCCAGTTTTCACACCTGCACTAGGTGTAGCTGATCCTACTTGCCTATCTTCCAGCCCTGCTGTTCTAAGTTTTTTTCACTAATTTGGTAATCAGTTGTTTTTCCTAAAATGCTAATTTATCCTTGATAAGATGAAAGAATTGTTTTAAGGATTAAATTGAAGATTATGCCTGTTATGGTATATTAAAGAACATAGACCATAACTATRTTAAGGCTACACACACAGAAAGGGGTATATTGAAAAACACACTCCTCTTTCAGAGTCTTAGAATGTTTCTTTTTTGCTTTTTTCTGCTCTCCCAGTTTGCACCTATTGAATTCAAATTCTGAAAAAAAAATGAGACATTATTATAAATAGACATGTGAAGATAGTACTGAAAAAGCAAATTTGGAATGAGAGCAGGGCATATCAATGAACAGAAGTTGCTGTATTCTGATTAAATCTGYGTCATCCTACTTACAGATGTTCACATCCAGCTGTCCTGTGGACAGGTTGTGGTCTCTAATGATTTTAGCTAGCAGAATTGTCCCTAGGGATATGAATACCAYCCAACCCCAGGCACACATTTGAAGCATGCCAGGAGCTCCCAGGCCTCCTGCCTGCCACAGGGGTGAGCTCTGCTCCCTCCAAGGGGGCTTTGCCTCCTCTTTTCCATGCACAGCCCAAGGATGTGCCTTGGGGCTGGCACCTGCCTGAAAGTAAAGATATTCCCTCAAACTGTCTTAAAGAYGCTGCTGGAAAATTTCTTCTGAGTGCATTCCATATCTTCTTCTCTGGGCTTACAAGAGGATCTGAAAGGGATGGGCAGGAGGCAAATTCTTATAAATTAATATGTTAAAGTGAGGGGGACTAAGTAAATAATGAACGTTCAGCTTGGCTCTGTTGTTTWGTGAGATTTTTGCTAGCAGCTTACTCCTAATTCAAGCACTAGATAACAATTGATCCCAGATTCCCTGGCAGAGCTGAAGCTGCAGCAGCCTCAAAGCCCCAGGGAGCCCTTTGGTGCCCTGCACAGCACAGTTGCATGGCTCACGTGGGCAGTCCTCATRTGGAAAAGCCGGGACCCTTGGCACAGACTACGAGCCAGCAACTTAGCAAAGGAATTACTTCTTCTTGAAGGAGTCTGCGAGCAGGGGCTCTGAGGAGGAGTCACAGTGATGCACTGCAGACAAAGGAAGGGATTGGGCTGGCTCCTTTTATTATTCATGGGTTTTTTATGCCTCCATGAGGAACAGTCATGAGCAGAGTGAAACAGAAACATGCAATGTTTTCCCAGCTGCTCCTGTGAGGGACATGCATTTTATCTACCTGGTTCCTGTGGGTGTCCACGGGATWGGACCTAAAAGCTGGAGTGTCTATACATTACTGCATTAATTTTAGCATTATACTCATATGCCTACATGAATTTTTTAGCATCCTGGCACAATCAACCTGTGCACAGCTGGATACTTAAAAACTCAATTTGGCCATGTGTATCAAGGCATGATCTGTTCTTCTTGATAAAAGTCTCCTAATCTATATTGAATGGAATAACATTTTTACATGTAACTTGACTCTAAAAATAAAAAGGGAAAAGTATGATCTAGGCAGTCTTGCCACAGATGAAATGGGCAATCCCAAACTGCCAGTTTTGCCTTAAAGAACTTGTAACTGCATCTGGCGAAACAGGRTAATGAAACACCTGCTCCTCTCCTGATGCTAATGAAACCTTAAACAACATCTGCTAAGGACACTAAAAGCTTTGTAGGTGGCATTTGGTATATTTTTAAAGTCTTGTATCTCTCTCCTCTGCAGTCTGGTTTTAAAAACTTTACCTCTCTAAAAAATGTATCARGGGAACAAAGAGCAGCAGGTGCTTGCCAGAGTGAGAGGAATCTTGTGATGCCTCTGCTGAGGTTATCAGCAGGTKCCTGAACTCACCCCCCTGGCTGCAGAGGCTGTACATGCAGATGGCCACACCTCAGGGACCAAACACAGTCTGTGGGGCTGGCTCAGTGCACAGCAAGGGAAAACAGCAGATGGCAACAGCTCTGAGCCATCATCAACCTGCCATGGGTTTGAACAAGTGAACAATAGCTATTGTTTGTAATAATCATAATAGTCCCCAGAACTGGAAAATGTGGTCAAAACCTCACCTGGGGATCCTGCAACTGAGAGTCAGCGGTGAGATTCCTTGACACAAAAATGGACAACTGCCCCAAAGCCAGACCTCTGAGGAGCCTAGAACTGCCACCAAAAAGGGTATTCCTGGAGCTTCATAGCTGCCCTTCAAGGCTGTCCTGGTGGGTTTGGGTAGACTAAGCTTTAATTCTGTGTGAACAGATAAAAAAGGCTCTGGGAAGAGACAAACTGGCAGCTCTGACCCAGATTTTATGTTCAGTCATGGCATTATTCCTCTTTAATTTGGGCATAATAAATTATCCATCCTTAGTTCKGCTTAAAATGGGTCAATTCCATATGCAGTGTTATTAGAAAAGAGCACACAAATGGTGAAGAGCTGTAAATGTATTTGTATTTCTACCCAAAATGGCAGTGGCAATAACTAAAAAGCCTTGAGCAAGTCACCAATTTTGTGCTACAAAGATTCAAGCCAGTGATTAAATTTATGGATAATAAGCTGGATGTGATGAGCCTGAGGTTTATTAATACGMAGATGAATTTACACACATTATTTAGGGTATTAAATTGTATACACGTAATAGAAGTGCACTTGCTGTGGTAACTACAATGGGTGAAAATGCTGCAATAAAATGAGGAACCCTTGACATTTGTGCCCCCTGTGAAATGACAGACACTTCTCTTACCTAGGATGATCTTGGAGTTGTCATTGGGGAAGTAGGGAACAGCCTGGAGGTTGGCCCAGGTGGCAATGAGAGCCTGAGGAAGAGTCATCAGCTTATTGCTYGACAGGTCCAGGTATGTGATGTTCTTGACATAGCGGGCAGCTTCGGCAGGGACTGAGGTGAGCTCGTTGTTGTGCAGATCCAGCAGCCTCAGCTGGGGCATGCCAGCCAGGCTTTCCCAGGGGAACGATATTAGGTTGTTYCCATCCAGCCTCAGCTCCTGCAGACGGCGAAGGCCCTTGAGGGTGATCCCACTGAGGCTGGCCAGGGAGTTATAGGGCATCCAGAGGTACTCCAGGTTGTGAAGGAGGTGGAAAGCTTCTCCTGGCACCCTGCGGATGGCTGTTTTCTCTATACGCAGCTTGGTTGTATCAACAGGGATGTTCACAGGAGGGAGGGTCATCTCTGGGTCATTACACAGAACTGTCCTGGTGGGGAAGGACAAACAAAAGTGACTTCCTTTTACTTTGAAAAGATTTTGAAACTTCATTTCAATGCAAGATTTCKATCTGCCTTTCTTATTTCACAAGATTTCTTCTTGTCATTTTTTACTTGCTGCTGAACATCCTCACTGTAAATACATCAACTTGCAGTAATTCATATGTACCTTCTGACTGCAGAGATGACAGTGTTGTGGCTCTCCTGGAGTGGTGCAAGTCTGAATCTGGCCCATGTTGGTTTTTACTTTCAGTTTTTTTAAAGTACTTAATGACAGACAGCAGTGACAACATTCACGCACAACAGAGGATTCAGTGCAAACTAAAAGGATCCATAAACTGAATGATAAAAGCCATACAAAAAGAAGCCTTATTGACATGTGGGAGGGAAAGAAGTTATATAAATTAAATATAATGCAGGAGCTCTGGTTTGAGAAATGAGGATAAGAAAGTCAGTTCACTGGAAACACTCTCTGGAGTAAGCTCTGCTTTACTGTGGAAGGTGTGTAGAGATGGCAGCACTCACTGCACCACATGCAATATAGTCATGAGAGTGAAAGCATAGAAAATTAACTCCTTGGGAAATGCTATACTGAAAGCAAGGCAGATTTATGTGTTTTAATCATTCCTCCACATTTCTAATCTCTAGAGGTCAAAGCATGGAAAGCCCATGCTGCATTTGTGCAGCTTTCATATGAAAAATTGTGACTTGGGATTGTAGATAGCCATGAGAAATGAAGGGAGACAAAACAGGTCTCTAAGACAGAATTTTAATKTGCCTATCAGCAAGTAGGGAAAGGCAAGTTCTTAGCAAAATACAAAGCCACCTGCAAAAGGTAACAGGTTAGAGATAGGGTGTGTTCTGCTCCACATGCTGAACAAGACACCACAAGAAATGTAATGTGATCAGTCAAGTAACATTTTCTTATCACACTGCCTCTATAAACAGAATATTACAAAGCTGTCAAAACCAGATGGGTGTTGGCTGACAGCAATTATTCCTCTACTATCAATAAAAACATGTAAATTTGCTGAACCAGTCATGCAAACTTCCCAGATTTAAATGCTGTTTGAGCCTACAGTTAAATTTTTAATTTATAATCAAAACACAGTACATTACTCTCATCCAGCAATTTTATTGTGGCATTAGATCCAGACCACTCTTAGCTGAAGCTTGAGATTTTGAAAAAGATAAAAATCTATCAAATAAGCAAAATCCAGAAATCTTTCAATAAAACATTTTCATTTTGTAGTCATGCCACAAAATGTTTGCTAACAAAAACATCATGGCAGTAAAACAGCATGCTTCTCATAGCATCCCTAAACTATGTCAGTGAGCACTAAATATTAATCTGTGGGATAATCTCCTTCTAGTGAGAAATATGAATCATAATGCAGAAAAAAAAGGTGACATTATGCTCCTTAAGGGACTAACGGATATTTGCTTTATTATGTATCTTACTAAAATGCACAACAGCTTTTTCCAGTCACTGAGAGGAAATTCCCCTGGGAACTGTGACATTTATGGAGCAATAATTGGCTCTCACGCYGTTGCACTCCCTTTTAACAGTTGCAGGCTACTTGTGTCTCTACCATGCTTCTGACTGGGAAAGTTCCTAGTATTAAATCTATAGCAACATAAAACAGATAAGAAAGTAGAGCTGTTTCATGGGGCTCCAAAATATTTCATTTTGGTAATGAAAAAATTTATTACAAAGGATTATGCAAATACTGCTTCTCTGTAAAAAGACAAAACCTCCTCTACTATGAACCACACCTTCTGAAAATAGGGCCTTTATTTTCTTTAAGTCAGATACCTTGTGGTTACCCTTCAGAAGGACTCTTTTATAACAGTCCTCCAGAGAAATGTACGTCAAATGGCTTTGCATTCAAAGATGGATGTCCTTCTGGTCTTCTCTTCTTTTTTAATGAAAAGCTTCCAGTCTGAGAATGACTTTTTTTTTTTTGTTTGTTACTGTGTGGTTTTTTTTAGTTCATTCTCATACAGAGTCTATTGCTTTGCCTAAAATCTCCAGTTGAAGGATTTTTTTAAGTAAAGGTTGAAGGTTTTGGTACCACAACATGAATCAAATCTGGTTACACTTTAGCAACAAACCAGTAGAGCAGAATAAAACATCTTAGAACCAGAATTTTCAGTATAAAGGTAAAATAAAATAAAATGTTGTTTAGAAATTATTCTCTTTTTGCCATTAACACCAGCAATAATTATATCACTTCTGTTCTCACAGAGGAGATACCCAAACGCTTTCTCTGAAATCAGCTTACTGTGTTTTCAGAAGCTAATCCTCTGCAAACACAGCTAGAGCGCAGAGCAACTGGAAAAATAATGTCCCCAAAGTGCAGAGAGAATATTTCCCCTGGGAGCATCCCCGCAGAGGAGCAGAAGCACCCCCCGTCCCCTCTCGGCCGTACCTGGCTTTGGAGCCCTCGGCGGGGCTGTGGAAGGCGCAGCTGCACTGCGAGGGGCACGATGCTCGGGCCAGCGCCGAGCAGCACAGCAGAGTCACGGCGATCCACATGGCTACCGGGCATGCAGCTCACCTGGCCCTAGCACATCGCCACCGCCGCKCCTGGTGTTCCAGACATCGGCCGCTCACATCTTGCTCGCTCCCTTTTGTTTTCAGCCACGCTGTGATCTTCCAGCCCTCGCTGAGTCCATCAGATAAAAAAGGATAGGCAGGGATTAAGGATGGGGACTTGAGTTATTTTCATGAAGGTGCTTATTGCTTCCTGGAACCATACGAACAGCGTTTCTTCCTTCTTCAAAACACCCTCCTCAGGCAATGGCTCTTGAGCAAGAAAAAAAACACAAATATATTTTTTGGGGACATTCATCACAGGCAAGATAATCTGACCAGGAATTAGCAATAATTTACTTYCTCACAGAGGGATTGGGAAGATTTAAAATAGTTATTTGTGCTAATGGACTGCAAGCCTTCTATCTAATACTAAAATATATGTAGTGGTGCTATTACAAGGCTTTACTATCTTTTAAAAAGGCCTAGTTGATAAAGCAGTTATTGAACTGTTGGCAACATGCCCGATATTGACAAACAGTTAATAAACCAGTAAATACGTGCATATTTCAATTTCACAGATCTGCAGGAGTGACCACTCTGCTCTGACTTGCTGACACAGCAGGGCTCAGGWAAGGGACCCTTTTGGGGAGTGCCACCTGATGCAGCACTGTGTGGCAGCTTCAGGAATGCTGAGAAAAGCTCAGCTCTGTGTAAAGGTCAGCCAAAGACCAAGTGTCAAATTATTTTGTCCTCTCCCCTCTAAGCCATTTGTTTCCCATGTATTAGCAAAGGCAGCCATAGACCACCCATGTTTTCAGCACTCTTCATCTCCAAAGAACACAATACATGTGAGAAAAGTGGAGCACAACAAACATGCACAAAGTTTACGAAGTTGCTGCTTGATTCAGAGCAGAATTCTGTTCATTCCAACAAGGACGTATTATGCTTATAAAGACTATTATAAAGGCTATTATTTTCTGATGAGTGTGAAAGTATATAAATTATTTACACCACAAATGCCCAACACTCTCATAAAAGTAGAGCTTTGGAGCTGACTACTTTCAACCTGATCAGATTGCTACTCCCCACTTTCCAGACATACATCATTACAGTTTTAACAGAAAAACTGACCCCTGTGCCAGACACAAAACCAAAAATATGAGTTAAAAGTTGAGGGAGGGAATGAATGGAGCTGGGAAAAAAAAAATAAAAAAAAAAAAAAAAAAGAGAGAAAAAACCCTCACCACCAACCATTCAACATGGAAAGCTTCCACCTGCAAATGCTGTGAGAGACAGACAGATTTTGAAGACCTGCTATGAACATTACTCCTCATAACACAAATCTCTTCTGTGCCTATGCATCCATGCCAGATCCCTGACAACAGACTGTCAAGATAGACAGGATGTTCCAAACTAAGCATATCTTGAGTTGCCTGTTGCTGAAGCTGGTCTCTTTTCCTGTTGGAACAGAGGCAATTAAGGGACTCCAGTTCTCCAGCAAAGCTGCATGCCAAAGTCTACATGGTGTAGCCACCCTCACACCTCCACTGCTTCCCCATTGCCTCCTGTCAAGGCTGAGGAACCACCTTTGTGAGAGAATACTTGTAGGACATGTGGCTGAGGTGGCTTCAGACCCAGAGTTCACCATTTCTCACCTCACTTTTCCAGCATTCCTCCCTGTTGGTGGACCTGCTGGTTGTGCTTTTTCTTTCAAATATGTAACCAGAAGTTACTACTCAGAAGTGCAGCCACCTATCTATGTACAAACTGCCGGAAGGTCAATGACTGCACTACAGCAATGTTGTTCCTAACAAAGATTGCTCACCAGGATTTCTGGTGTGGAGCTGTTCTCATGCAGAATTCATCCTAGGGTTTTCAGAATGAAATTACACTGGCAATTTTTCAATAATTCTGGGTAATGAACTTTCAAAGTTTCAAGGKAATCTAGATGTGGTTGGGGCTAACTATTAAACAGACATTTTATGGTGCCATAGTTTCACATAAGCTTGTTTCACATGAACTTGTTTCACAAGTTACTCTGATAATTAATTAAGGCTTGAAGATAACATTTATTGAGAGGATGGCACAAAGGATTACTTTTCCCCTGCTTTTTTCACATTCTACATTTATTGTAGTTTAAAGACAAATTCAAGTATCTCATTTTTTATTTCGGAAGAGATGAGACATTATACAGTGACGATTATTAAATAGCCATAGTTGTTCCCTCATTGACTTCCATTAGGTCCCATTCCTGGATTTAACGATTTCTCAGTTCCCTTAATGATTTCCGAGCTAAGACCAAGCTTATTGGTTTTTTTAGTGTATTCATTGGTCAACTTGCCTTGCTGCCCAGACTCTGCCTCAGCTCAATACTCACAATATTGACTGAAACATCTGAAGTTAAATTCTACTTGAAAAAGCAATACAACATAATTAACATCTTGCATCTGGTTTTTATTTTTCAATGSATCTGATAAAGTAGTTTCCCTCCATTGGAGCTCTTGGATAATAAACTTGTAGAAAGCAGAACTGTATTGTAAGGTTTGCTTTTATGAACYTCAATTTTGCCTCACTAATGAAACATCTAAGTTACAACTAAGTGCCAGGAGCAGTAGAAGTAAACTTAATTTGTAAAAATCAACAGCAATCAATAAAGCATGCCTTAGCAGCAGCTAATGCTCTGCRCTTTGTCAAGAAAGCTGCTATTTACTTAACATGACAAAGTCGCTTCTGAACAAGAAAGAGAAAGACCCAGAGGTAGGCTGAGGGATTAATAAAACCAGATAAATAAAAGAGATAACATTAACAGGTTTCATAGCTTGGAGTGTATTGACAAGTGTGTCTCTGAAATGAGGAAAAGGGAGGGAAAAGGACCAGTCAGCCAATAATCCAGTTATCAGCACTCACATGTTGGAGTTTTCTCTCCCTGTTKATTATTTTATCTTTGAATCCTTCATCAATACATCACCACCAAATGATGCAAACGGTGGGCTAAGTCTCAGATACACCCATTAGGCTTGATCTGAATGGTCAAGGGAGTAGGATTGCCCTCACCCTGAAAAAACTTGACAACATCAGGAGGTGTGGAAACCAGCTCAGGTRGGCTTTGGACATTAGGAACTGGAGGAGGAAGARGAGGAGGAGGAGACCTTGGTGYRYTGGGAGCAGCCATGYCCACCTTCTGTGGGSATCCTGTGCCAGWGCCTGACCACGTTCACAGCAAAGAATTTCTTCCTAACACATAATCTAAACCTGTCCTCTGCCAGTTGMAAGTGACTCCTTCATGTCCTTTCACTACACACTCTTGTGCTGAGTCTCTCCAGCTTTCTTGTAGGCTCCCTTTAGGTGCTGGAAAGCTGCTCCAAGGCCTCCCTGGAACTTTCTCTTCTCCAAGCTACAACTCCAACTTTCTCAGCCTGTCTTCCCAKGAGATGAGCTCCAGCCTCTGATCATCCTCTGCACTTGCTGCAGAAGCTCCATTGGCTACTCACGTTGGAGGTCCCTGAACAGGATACAATACTCGAGGTGAAGTCTYAGAATGGAGCAAGCAGAAGAAAACAGAGAGAATTAGTGAAACAAAGGCAATGAAATCAGATGCTTCAAACTGTAAGGGTAGATGCCAGTAGCTGCACTCCAAGGACTGCATGAAGCAGCATTGGTGAGTGGGCTGCAAGAAAAAGCTTCTTCTGCTTACACTCATGCTCCCTCCCTAATTCAGGGAGATGGAAGAAGTAAAACTGGAAGCAAAAGCTGGTTACTGTGTTCAACAGATGATGAATTCACTTCTACACACAATTCTGGTTTGTCTTAAGCATTCTTTGCAGTGCAACAGCTTTCTAGGTTTCCACAGTATTTTTAAATGTATTACTCCTCCCAATAATACATCCCAGTTCAGTTACTGAACAGTTATTCACTTATTATGCGATTTAATGTAAAATGAACACTCATTAGATAATTTTCTTGTAAGTGCAGGTGATATTTATTTGAGACTTAAAAATCAATACTACTATTTTGTGTGCAGAGTAAAACCATTTTTTTTCATGACAGACAATTCCATTCCATAATGAAACTAGTGRGAGTTAAGTTTTTCACTTACAATCCTGCACTCCATATCATAAAAATTGTGCTCCCTTGCTGTTTACTTAGGAAGGAAAGTAAACAGTTTCTTCTCTGCACCAAACTAAAAATATCAGTTGTAGGAAAAAACATACAGAGAAGCAGTCAGCAAGTGTCATTCATCTGAAATGTAAGAATTTGTTTTGCATTCTCTGAGAATAAGCAGCTCCCCTGTTTATATTTTTGGTGTAAGCAAATGCAAAGCAAATGGGGTCAAAGTCTACTGTCAGCAAAGTTCAGCACATGGCAGTCTTTCTTTTCTTTCTTAGGTGAGATATAGTTCAGAGAAAAATTTTTGCTTTGTACTTAATAAGATTAAYTTAATCACTTGACATCATCATTTTCATATTTTTTCCTATATAGATATATTGGAGCCAGAAAGGTTTTAATAGAAGATTCTCCTCATAAGCTCTAAAGTGCAACTTGAGCGACACAGACAGCATGACTAAGTCATTCATTTTTAATATGGCAATTGGACAGARTTTATTTTTATTTCTTTTCTCCAGATACTTAGAAAAAACGTGGCATAAAGCAAATCAAACTTATTTTAGCATCAATTAAAGCCATAAAATACCTTATTATCATTATTTTGTATGGAAGGTTTTATTAGCAACACAGGCCAGACACTAAATCAATTTCATTAGGTAAATGCATCTCCAAGAAGCTTCTGGCAGGACACATCTTGTAAAGTGGAAAATCCTTCCGCCTGATGCAAGTGGAGAGCACGTTAATGCATTACGTCATTCTAAATTGGATCTTGCACTTAATGCTGATGAAGGCAGCTCCAGAGCAACAGGACCAAAGCCATTAACAGACCTCTAGAATGAAGAAATAAAACAAAYCCACAGAGGTTTTGGCAAGGAACGTCCAAAGTCTGTCAGTGGTAATTCTACTGTGCACACATTGCCCAGTGCAGAGCAGCAGAGGTGAGGGCAGACCTCTGACCCTCGGGGGACAGAATCTCACACCCTTCCCTCACGAGGCCGTGCTTGGCCCCTTTCTGTCCACGAGCAGGAGCCACCCCACCCCACAAGGCCCC